CATAAGCAGTGAAAGCAAGTCAGAGATATGGCACAAGAACCACATTCATTAAAACAAAATGGCCGCCAGTCGGCCATTTTGAATAGGATCGTCAAACCAATACATATATCTGTTTATCTATGACATGATGTATAATGAATATTTAAAATTTGAACATAATCAGTGAAAGCAAGTCAGAGATATGGCACGAGAACCACATTCATTAAAACAAAATGGCCGCCAGTCGGCCATTTTTAATCTTATCTGAAAAACAAAATTATTTGCATCAAGGTCTCATAATGTCTAATGTATATACCAAGTTTGAACAAAATCCATCTGTAAACAGCCGAGAAATGCTTGATTTTGATGATTTTTAGCACAAAAATGGCCGCTATTCGGCCATCTTGAATCAGATTGTAAAACAAAATGATGTGCATCAAGGTCCTATAATGTCTAATGTATATACCAAGTTTGAACAAAATCCATCTGTAAACAGCCGAGAAATGCTTGATTTTGATGATTTTTAGCACAAAAATGGCTGCCATTCTGCCATCTTAAATCAGAACAAGAAACAAATTGACATGCATATGTATAATATCATGTATGATGTATGTATGAAGTTTGACTGTGATTGGTCCAGGCATCTCTAAGATACAGGTCCGGACGCACACACACACGCACGCACGCACGGACACACAGAGGTCAAAACATAAGTCCCCGTTTTCGGACTGCGTCCGAACGGGGACTAATTATTCGAAAACAAGATTCAAGAACAAATGCATTATGCATATAGAACGCTAAAGAGGAATTGCCAGTATAAAAATTATCTAACAGTAACAAATGCAAAACATAGAGCAGTGTTAACAAAATTGAGATTTAGCACCCATAATTTAGAAATAGAGAAAGGACGATATAAAAAAATCCTTGCAGTGGTAGAAAGTGCACTGCTTGTGACCAAAATGAGATTGAATGCTCTTCTTACTTGAGTGCACGCTGTAAGAAAATGAGAGGACTAAAATGTTGAAGGAAATAAATTTAATAAATTGCAACAACACAAATACTAATAAACTGATTTATTAAAAAATTTAGCCAAAAAATAACAAAACTATAATTGTTTCAGTGCCAGAGAAAATCATTACGAAAAACAACCAGCTGCCCCTAAATAAAAATTTTCTTTATTTTATATTCTTTTCAATTTTAGTGCTTCCATTTTGCTACTTCGGTTTTTCGTCTTTACCGGTATTGTAATTTCGTTTTTCTGAGTCAATATCCAAATAAGGATACGATTATGCGATAAATATTATTACCGGTACATTCCCTGTTCTATGGACTTTGTGTCTGAGAAAGCAACTTTCAGAAACTCTAATTTAATCATAGCCGACACATTCCTAAATGTTTCCTTATTTCATATGTGCAACTGACGTGACTCATTTATTTAAATAATCTAACTAGATGAGAGTACAAAATGTACAACACTGTGACTCGCATGTCCTCAGTTCATCAGGTTATCTGAATTTTCTCAGTCGAGAGAGAGAGAAATGGTTACAACAAAAATCAGAAGAACAATAACACTGAGAGAAAATCAAACATAAAGAAAAATGAAAGAAACAAACAAAATACATGAATAGTTAAACTTTAGTATTATTAAAGGGTGGTGGTCATTGCCTCGCATCCTGTTTGACATGGGACTCATGGCGACGTATAAAACGTATGTAAAGTACTGTCATGAATTAGTTTTCGCGTATCTGTTGACCGACTTAATTAGTTGATTATTAGCGAATTGCTGTGTTATGTCTGTCATCGTGTAGGCCTATTTGAAGTTTTGGACGGAACTTGGCTCAGTGATTTGGAACTAATTACGAGATACGAGATATCCGTCGCGATTC